TTTTTTTTTTTTTTTTTTTTTTTTTTAAGGGGATAAGTTGTTCTATGCCCTTATTTCACAGATGTACAGGTTGTTTTCATGGTTCAATTTCACAAATGTCCCACATTAACATTAACATTTGTAATGGTAAGGTTCTAAGCATTTGTTATATTTTTTCATTTGCAAGTTATTAGTTTACAATTATAAGTCTAGTCTAGTGTGAGCCAATTTATATCTATTTAATCATCAAATTTTAATAATCATGAATTTTTTTAACACAAAAGGTTGACTTTAAAGAACTTATTAAACACCATTTAAAGTTTATAAAAAAAAAATTAAAATTTAAAAACTTATAAAATATTTTAAAAATTTTAGAAAGTAAATAAAACAATTTGAAAAGTTGAAAACAGTTGGAATTTAACCTGTAATTCTGAAATAAATTATGTGAATAGATGAGAGTAAAGGTAGTAATATTGAAAGAGTGTTCAAAAGTTTCAAAAGGGAGGGTCGATTATTGGAAGAATGAATAGCAGTGGTTGGAATTTCTCTTTCAAATTGGTGATTGAGGTACCACATTATTATGGATGGATACCTATTTGCTGCAACATGGTCTACCTTAAACTCAACTCCATTCCCCTTATTATGTTTCACCTCCATTGACAAAGCTCAATAGATGTCAATTAGCATCTCGAAGCTAGTGCCTCAATCATCTAATCCTACAATACTTGAACTCAAATTTATGTACTTGCACAGCATTCAATATCATATAGTACTTTAAACACACCAAAGATAAGGAGTAACCAAAGTTTTCCTCTCCTATTTGACTCAAATTCCTTTAAGCATAAAGAAAAGTGTCGCCTTCCAACTTTTGGAAAATGGTTGAAAGTGTTGAGGAGTATCCAACACTACTTCATCTCTCCAAAGCTTAAAGGGAAAAGAAAAGAAAAGAAAAGAAAAAGGAAGCACCTTTATTTCTTGGGGGGGGGGAGGCATATGAGTTAAGAGAATGTCCCAAATTCGGACCATGATATGAGAGGTTAGAAGCAATGAAGCAAGAGTTTGCATTGCATGTGCACTCAATCAACAACTCCACAAAGCCTTATCCCACCTGTTATGGTAGCCAACACAGTTCATAAAAGTAGTGAGACCTCCACAAAAATACATTATTGAATGATATAGAAACCAATAATAAAGTCTGTGTGTCAAAATTTTCAAGCTCCTCCTATCAACAATAAAGGCATGTCACCACAAGAAAAGCTAATCTTTGTGGATTGAGGATGAATATGAACATAAATTTAGAGGTCGATGGTTCATTTTAAACGGACCACCAGGCCTGAACTGCAACTTTCTCAAAGGGATAACAGCTTGGGTCAATAAGAAAAGTGACCAATAACAAAAGGCTGCCCATTTCATTTAGTGGATATTAGGCAGCTGCATGCTTAAGGTCTGCAAATGGTGGAGCACAACCTGTCCTCTCTCTCTCTGTTCTTTCACTTTCTCTTTGGCTCCCTCTCTTCATTCTTCTTATTCGGATATTAAAATCATGTTCATCAGCTCTGAAATGACTTTCAAATATGTCCTAAAGCAATTAGCAAATTTGAAAAGTGGCGAAGGTTCGTTTCTCTTTTGGTTCTTTTTCTTGATAAAGAGTGTTGTGGGTGTGGGGCTGCTCATCTTTTTCAAACCCATTGTACATTCAAAGAATCTAACATGAAAAAATCTTGAGAGGCTTCGATAATGGCTTCTACCAAAAGGTGTTGCCTAATATACTTTAACAAATAGACGATATGCATTGGTGTCACCTATTTTGGTTTGATGAACTTGCAATACAAACACACACACACAAACAAGATTCTGTAGCTACATCTTTCACCCTCTTCAATTACTTCCCTCTGTATTCTCAGCATCAATAATGGAATTTTACTCTGTCTTCAATTCCTGTTTCAGCATATGTAAGGATGATGACATTCCTATAAGATCGTAAGTTCTTAGCTCCAAGAATTTTAATAAATTTTGAAAGGTCAAAACACTTGGCCTTGATTAATTAGACATATTAACCACCTTATTTGGTGGCTGCCAAGGCTTCCCTTTTATCTTAAAACAAAATTATTTTCTTTCCTCATTCTGACTTTGATTCCTATTTCTGTTCACAGACGTGTATTAAAAACAATGGTAGGTAAAGATTAGATAGAGCCTTTTCAACCATCAAAGTTTTGCAGGAAAAAAACTTGGGCACTTAATGATTTGAGCTTCCCACCTTTGTTGCCTCCAAATATTATTATCATTGTACCTTAATCCAACCAAAGTCTCAGACCCACCATGTGATTAACAGCGAGTTTCAACTCCTAAGATTTCTCTCATCCATTTTTCAATTTCTTTTTCATGGCATTAACTTACATTAAAGTTCGACACCAACCATACATAAAGTTGGTATCAACTACGTCACATTATATCATAATATATATTTGATTTATATGGTTTTGTTTCATTTTTTTCCATTAAGGTTAAGGCTATTTTGATGGACTGAATTTTATTTTTTCTTGTTATAGTTCTTGTTGTTTGTCCTGTAGTCCCTATGGGTTAGAATTATTGCATCAAATTTAAGCAATAAAAGTACTCCAAGAATGATTTTGAGGGGCCATACAATAGATTGTGAGGCCCCTCCTCTGGGGTTATAAAGGGATACATTCATTTTCTCTTATCTTTTTCATTATATGTAAGCTAAACCATGGATCGTTTACATATCATTATGTTGAATGAAGGGTAAATTTAGGTAAGTTTGGGCGTTTTGGCAGCAGCTGATTTCAAATTTTGTGCATGTTCTTGAAGAAAGAGAGCAGAAAAAGAAGAAAATATCTTTTGCATTTACTTTTTCATGCAAAAGCTCTGTCTCTCTCACACACTCACTTTAATTCTAAATTCAAATTCATGGAACATTATAAATTTCCAAATTCTATCCCCATTACTAAAGTTTTTAATTAAAATATATATCCAACTATGTTATAGTGCCATCATGACATTCATATATAGATTCGAAAATCAAATTTGCTTTTGCTTTTAAGTTGAATTTTAGATTTTTGAAATATAATTTTGGAAATTCGTGTGGTAGAATAATACGATTTTTTTTTTAAATATCTAAATGTCTCTAGAAGGTTTAGAATGAGTCTGAAAATATTCTTTTGACACAACCAAAGTCAATTAGGATGTTACATGAAATACGACAAATTTAAGAATAATGAAATAGCATCTTAGACAAAATAGGACAAATTATTATAATAAAAAGTAGCATTGATTTTCATGAAAATTAAAATGTTTCATTTTTATGTCAATTTTGGCACTGCTTTGCACGAAAAACAATGCATTTTGAGAGTTTTGACTGTTTTTAAATTAATGATAGTAACAATTTTAGTGTTGAAAAATTAATTAGAATTTAATTGCAACTATTTATAAAATTTTAAAATTGAAACTGTGATGGTATAATATCCGTGGGTTTTGCAAATTTTAATTTTACTAAATATAGAAAATAAATTTTCTGTCAAAAGGTCAAAATGGTAAATTCCGAACGGCGTGATGATGTTAATGGTCACACGACGTGATTCGTTTTGTTAGTTAATACTCTCACGAAGTAATTTGGTGAGAGTAAGACCTGGGTACGGGTGCAATACTCTCACTAGAAACGGCGTCGTTTTGGTCTACATGATCCATCTTCAATCTCTTCTTCTTCTTCTTGAACTCCCTATTCTCTCTTGTTGAATCCATAGGGCGAAGGTAGAGAGAAAGGTACCGGATTTGTGTGAATCACATCCCCCACACGATTAGGTCCACTTCCACTTCTACCGCCTGTTACTGCAGCTCCACGCTTCGCTTTCAGCATTTTGGGTCTTCGTTTGGGTCCCATTTCTTCCTTTTCTCTCTCTTTCTCTCAAATTTTCTCTCCGCCTTCTCTTCTCTGCTCTTTTCTTTTCTCTGAAAGCAAAAATACGCCATTCTTCAATGTCCTGCTAAACCCATTTCCCCAAACCTTCTGTCCCTCTTTGCAATGGCTGCTTCTGGGGGTACTGGTTATAGAAATGGCGCCACTTCTAGAAACTCTCTTAAGCCCGATAAGCCCTTTTCCCCTAATTCCCATCCCAAGTCTTCTCTTAAGTCTAAGTCTCTTCCCAATTCTGCTCTTCGTCGTAGTAGCCCTGCATCTCTCGGTGCTGCCAAGGATGACGGTGGAGGTTTGTTGTTCGCATTTCTGCCACTTGTTTTGGGGATTTTTGTGTGTGTGTGTGTGTGTGTGTGGAGATCCTGGTTTTTTGTTTGTGGTTTATGGAGGTTTTGTGATTTGGTTTTGTACATGATTCATGTGGGTTAGTGATTTGAAATTGGGGATATTGTAAAGGGATGATTTATTTGATGTTTATGGTGATTATATAACGATTTGTTGCGTTTGAAAAGGGAATCGTGTTGAGGGCTTTCGATTGAGTAATGGTATGGATGTTTGGAGGATTCTACTTGAAGCAGATAAAAACGGTTTTAACATGTCATGAGTTTTTTTAAAAGGTGTTTAATTAGATTTTTATAAACTATCATACTTTCACTTGTATGCTTTTTGTTTCATTAGTGAGAAGGATTGAGTTTGAGTAGGCCTTTTTTTTGTGTTCAAATTTCACACTTCCATCTCTTTCATTATGCACTAATGATCTAATCCTACCATTTGTACAAACCAAAAAAAGTTTTTGAATTCATTCTGTCCAAATGGTTTTCACGTTTCAATATTTTAATTTCTGTTTAGCTTTTTATGAAAATCCTGAAGTACATTTGTAGTCGGAACCGTCACTTTAATGATATGGTCTTCCCTTTTCTCACATTGTTCTGTTCTATACACTTGAGTTAATCGAATGTTTTTCTTTGATATAAATAATGGCTGAGTGTAGTTCCTGGAAGAGTTCGAGTGGCTGTTAGATTGCGACCACGCAATTCAGAAGAATTGATAGCTGATGCTGATTTTGCTGATTGCGTAGAATTGCAGCCAGAGGTAAAATGGGAGCAATATTACACTAATAAATACCATCTTCCCTACGATTATTATACTCTTAATGGAGTTATTCAACACCTCAAAATATATTTCAGCTTAAAAGGTTGAAACTTCGGAAGAACAACTGGGATTCAGATACTTACGAGTTTGATGAAGTGCTAACTGAGTTTGCATCTCAAAAACGTGTTTATGAAGTTGTGGCAAAACCTGTTGTGGAGGTATGTTTACATTAGATTTTCAGTTTCCATCATAATTCTTGCTGTTTTTTTAATGAAAAAAGACCATGCTTGGTTTGTTCTGTTCATTCAATTCTTCTTTCAAACATTCATTCAAATCTTTCAAACTATTCATATATTCACCTTTTAGCAGGAATGTGTTGAAGAGAAAAAGATTCACTATAATTTGCTTCTAATCTTTATCCAACTTCACTTGAAGTCTATTCTTTTCAGACCCTTGTTAATTTTTTTTGCAATTTCCTTCGAGTGACGGGCCATTTTTCTTATCCTTAAGAGTGTATTGGATGGCTACAATGGAACAATTATGGCGTATGGCCAGACTGGTACCGGTAAAACATATACTCTTGGAAGATTAGGAGAGGAAGACACTGCTGATCGTGGAATAATGGTGCGTGCTATGGAGGACATCTTGGATGAAGTTTCTTTGGAGACAGATTCTGTCTCGGTATCCTACTTGCAGGTTGTTTCCCTCTGAAGTCACTATGCTACCATTTTCTACTAGTAGTAGTCTGCAAAATCTAGTGCCACTTGTCGAGCACTTTTGATTTCGCGTCGTCTCTAAGAAGTTCTTGTGTGCTGAAATTTTTTAGTTCTTTGTATTTTCATGATAAACCTTTAATTGCTAAACTTCATTCTCTTTTAATTGCGTCCAGCTTTATATGGAGAGCATACAGGACCTTCTTGACCCTGCAAATGATAACATTTCCATCGTAGAAGATCCTAAAACTGGTGATGTTTCGCTACCTGGGGCTAGCCTCGTAGAAATTAGACACCAGGAGAGCTTTCTGGAACTACTAAGATTAGGGGAAGCTCATCGGTTTGCGGCCAATACAAAATTAAACACCGAATCTTCTCGTAGTCATGCAATTCTCATGGTATGTAAATGCTAGTTACTTTGTGGGCTTTCAATGCCTTAAAAAGTTTTAGTAGCTTATGGATTTAGACCTTTATTTCTTGTTGAAGGTACATGTAAAGCGATCTCTGAAAGGAAGGGATTCAACTCTGTCAAGTGATATTGGTGGCAATTCTCATTTGGTTAAGACCTTGAAACCTCCTATTGTTCGGAAGGGAAAGTTAGTAGTGGTAGACCTTGCTGGTTCTGAGCGTATCGACAAGTCAGGTGTGTTTATCCAGCTGTAGTCAAATAGATTGGATTCAAAGGTTTCCCTTTGATGGCTAGGCCACCACATTGAGCTGAAATATATTGTGCTTACATACTTGGCTTTCTCAATGAATATCACATTCGTTGAAGATTATTTATCTTTCTTGAGGCAGGAAGTGAAGGACATACACTTGAAGAAGCCAAATCCATCAATCTCTCCCTGAGTGCATTAGGGAAGTGCATAAATGCACTTGCTGAGAATAGTGCACATGTTCCAGTTAGGGATTCAAAGCTTACAAGATTACTACGAGATTCATTTGGTGGTAAGATCTGATTTTGATATTGTTATAGGTATTCCCGACTGAGGAAATTTGTTATTCGTTCATATGATTCCAAATTATGCAGATTCTAAAAGGAAAATATTAACATTCTATTTCTACTCAATGGCTTTGAATTCATTTGAAGAGATAGCTAGAGGTGGTTTTTATAGATGGATAAAAGGGGACCTGTCCTCTCTAATTGTTCTCCTAGAAGTTGGCATTGACTCAGATAGCTAGGGGATGGTTTTTAACGATGGAGAAAAGGGGACTTGTCCTCTCTAATTGTTCACCTAGAAGTTGGCGTTGAAACTATTGTCTTCTTCAAAGGAGGTAGAAGTGATAAGATTCCTTGATTTCAAAATGGCCCTTCAAAGATTTTTAGACTAATTGATGGGTTTTTTTTTTTTTTTTTTGGATTTTATCCATAATGACTCGGCCATGTTAAGGGGGCCAAATGTAAAAATCTGACCTTTTGGGTGGATGATTTTCCATAGATCTATCCATTGTAGCTGTAATACCGTTGGTATATCTTGGGCAGTTCCCACAACAAATATTTGATAGTATTGGACAGCTTCTTTGTGATCATTATTTCAAATGATATGCTGACTATCCTTTGGTCTTTTGCGGTTATCACTGTCTTTTGAAAAATTTGTCGGAAATGGACTGCATATTTAATATGCGGCTGCTTGGTGGCCATCCTTGGTTTTTTTTCCTTGTGATAGAGTTTTGCAATATTTCTCTCCTTGTTAATTGAACTTTGAGAGCTTCGTATAATTGCAAACTCCTAGGAACATCAGACACTTAGACCCCCAGCTTGAATTATTCTTTTATCGAATAGAATTTGCTTTCAAAAAATTCAAAGAGAGAGAGAGCTAAGAAAGTTCAACGGACTGCATGCATGTTCTGAAGTTTAAGCTTTTAGGTGCCAACTCAGGAATATTTCTTTAGGTTGTGGCAATCATATTTTCTTGTAGTTTCTTTCTTTTTAATCCTCGCAGCGATGGTTTTCCTGTTTTTGCAGCAATATCTGACCATGCAAAATTTTAACAGGAACAGCGAGAACTTCACTGGTTATTACTATTGGTCCTTCACCTCGTCATCGTGGAGAGACTACAAGTACAATAATGTTTGGCCAACGGGTAAGTTATGGGTGCTTACTTTTTGAGTCTGAAATTCTTATCTTCAAAATTGCTCTGAAGTTGCATTGATGTGGACAAGTTAATCTCCAGTACTCTAATTTTTTGATGCGTTGTGTTTTGTTCTATTCCCAAGATTGTAATTTTTAGAGCCTTTTGCCCCTCAGGCTATGAAGGTGGAAAATATGTTGAAGATAAAAGAAGAATTTGACTATAAAAGTTTGTCAAGAAGGTTAGACATCCAATTAGACAAACTGATTGCAGAACATGAAAGGCAGCAAAAAGCATTTGAGAAAGAAATTGAAAGAATTACCAAAGAAGCACAGGATCGCATATCTGAGGCTGAAAAAATTCATTCAAATGCCTTGGAGGTAAGGGTTCTTCTAGATTGAGATTCTCTAGAGATTGATAATTCCCTATGTTGTTTCCAAATTTGAAGTCTGAGAATTACGTTCTTTCTATAGAAGGAAAGGCTAAATTATCAGAAGGATTACATGGAATCAATTAAGAAGCTTGAAGATCAGCTGATGGTAAAGCAGAAGAAGCTTGGTGGGGAGAAAGTAATTAATGAAGCCGTTGCTGCTTCTGCTTCAAGTATAATTGCTAATGGAGAGGTATCCTGTTCCTTTATCATCAACATCCCTTCTTTCAGTTTCAAAGGAATATAACAATCTTATTTGCTATTTTTCTGCTCATATCATTAGATTCTATCGAGTGTCCTAAAATTCTCTTCATTCACAAGAAAACACCATGAATTTTATAAAATCACAATTTCTATTGCTTGTCCCAACATCAAGTTAATGTTTCTGAACGATTAGAAGAGTTAAAAACATATCCAGTATTATTCATTAAAGAGAAAGGTCAACAGAAAGTCTCTCAATGGTAGCTTGCTTTTCTTTTTGCCCCTTAGATTGTGGCAACAGTTTCAACCTCCTCTTAAAGCATCCATATCTATTCTTGAACGATATAGGGTTCAGCGGCATCTGCTCTCAAGGAAGTAGCAGAACTAAAGAGGTTGGTTAACAAGGAAGCACTTTTGAGGAAGGCGGCCGAAGAGGAAGTTAGCTATCTTAGAAGTCAAGTATCCCAACTGAAGAGATCAGAGGTATGTTTGGTTCAACTCTATGGAATTAATTTTAGCCTTGCTCTGTCATGTCCCAGCCCATCAATTCTATACATAAGGCTGTTGTTATTTATTAAGGGTGCCTTTTATGTGCTAGACTTCTTGCAATTCAGAGATTTTAAAGCTTCGCAAGACTCTAGAAGATGAGCAAAATCAGAAAAAGAAACTAGAAGGAGATATAGCTATACTACAAAGCCAGTTGTTGCAATTGAGCTTTGAAGCAGATGAGGTAAGTGTTGGCTTATTTTTTATTGATCTTGTTTGTATAACCTTATGGTTTTAATAAGATATGCTTTATTTGCAGACCAGTAGGCGACTGGACATTGGTGAGCCTGGAAAAGTCCTCAGTTCTCTAGATTCTCTTGTGCAACAAGTTAAGCATTCACAGGCTCAGGAGCCTGCAAATGGGGAGAAAGCTTCAGTAGCCAAACTCTTTGAGCAAGGTTTCAATCTCTTCCTGCATTATCTTGTTCTTTATTTCAAGTTGTCCATTAATTCTATAATATTTCGCAGTGGGACTGCAGAAGATCTTGTCATTGCTGGAAGCTGAAGATTACGACGTCAGAATTCATGCTGTGAAAGTGGTTGCAAATCTAGCAGCTGAAGGTACCCAAATCATTACATTGTTCTGTGACAATCTAACATTATTGCTTTGCCCTGTTCTTTTCTGGCTTTTTTAAGTTATTCTTATAATTCTAACTTAGGTTCATATTCAAATTATTATTGCAATGTCCTCGTAATTTGAAGAATTATTTGCCCTGAATGGTCTTTATCCTCCTAATTTAGATGCCACTGGTTGCTATTATTTAATTTTTTGTTGAAAGAGTAGTAGAGGAGGATGATTCTAAGCTGAAATGGTACCGTGGCTGTTATGATCATTACTTGCATATATTCTAAATCTATTTTTAGTTGAGTGCTTCCTTCAATATAAACCTTTTGAAGTTTTTAAGTATTATAGTGCTGCAATTGAACTGTCGGCAATGTGCAAATGCATTATATTTCTTACCGAAAGGGAAATTATAGATATTTGCTTCAAATATACAGAAACAAATCAGCAAAAGATCGTTGAGGCTGGGGGCCTATCATCTTTGCTGATGCTACTCAGAAGCACTGAGGATGAGACAATACACAGAGTGGCTGCAGGGGCAATTGCAAATCTGGCAATGAATGGTTAGTTTCTATTCCTTGTTTGCAGGAATACATTTCGTGCTTCGGTCCCCGATACTCCCTGCCTGTCTTCTTTTTTGGGCTGAGATTTCATTGTTCTTTATGTTTGCCTTGTCTTTTCCGTCAGAGACCAACCAAGAGCTCATTATGTCCCAAGGAGGAATTAGCTTACTGGCCGTGACTGCTGTCAATGCTGAGGATCCCCAAACCCTTCGTATGGTCGCCGGAGCAATCGCCAATTTGTGTGGCAATGGTAAGTGTTACAATCTCTTAATCTATGCAAATTCCTCAATCCACTTCAAACGCTCACTACAAGTTATGGTATTATGTCAACCAGATAAGTTGCAGACGAAGCTAAGGGGTGAAGGCGGCATTAAGGCATTGCTTGGTATGGTAAGATGCAGACATCCTGATGTTCTTGCACAAGTTGCTAGAGGAATTGCTAATTTTGCCAAGTGCGAGTCAAGGGCCTCTACACAAGGTAACAACTTACAAAAGGTTTGATATAACATGAAATCTTGGAAGCGTTTTTGGGGGGAAAGTTTGATGAACTGATTCGGGTTTGGTTCGTTGAAAGGAACAGGGACCAAGGCTGGAAAGTCCTTCTTAATTGAAGATGGAGCACTCCCATGGATTGTACAGAATGCCAAAAATGAAGCATCGACGATCAAACGACACATTGAACTCGCACTCTGTCATTTAGCACAACATGGTATGGCTCTTTTTCTTTTCTGCACTTCATCGTTCATATCAGCAACAAGAAGTCTCGAAAATATTAACTTAGAAAAACTTCTACATTGCTGATAATGCAGAAGTGAATGCAAAAGACATGATCAGTGGAGGTGCCCTGTGGGAACTCGTTCGGATATCACGAGACTGTTCACGAGAAGACATAAGGACTCTTGCGCATCGAACATTATTATCGAGCCCAGCATTTCAAGCTGAAATGAGACGATTACGAATAGATTATTGATTGATCTGAGGCAGTAGGCGTGACAGAAACATGTATGTTTATCTATCAGCACGATCATTTCTGAATTTTTGTCATGAAATCAAAGTAGTGTGAGATTTTGGTTGTAGTAGTTTATCAAATGGTATTAATTTCTCAGAGCCACTGGCCTGATCTGTAATTTCAAACTTAGTGTGTAAATTTATTTGTATATTAAGTGAATAAAAGTAGTTAATACAAAAGTTGTGGGTTTACCTTGTAATCTTAATTCTGCCTTTGGAGTGTTAATTTGTTCATCCTCAATTTTTGTTTGGATCATATTTTTAAACTAAGAGCGTAAGAGCTCTACCACAATTTTGTATATTTGTTTATTTGCAACTTTTTCTTTTAAAAAAAATTGAACTTACCATACCAATTAGTATATTTGAACTTTTTCGTTATTGTTGGAATATAATCGACAGAAATTAAAATATTTGACTCGGAGTTTTGAGGCTTAGGTTGAGGTTTAATAATTTTGACACAATGAGAAAGTCTAAGCCGCCATATCTTTCAATTCTTAGAGTTTAGACAGGTTGCAAATAGGTTTCATATATTTGTAATGTTCTATTACTATGATTACAGTATTAGGACTGCATACCAGGTCTTCATTATGATTACAGTAAAGAGTAAAGAGCATGCTTTACTTCTTTAGACAATTTGAACCTCTAGACCTCTCAATAGAGAAGACTTTTGTACTTCAAAAAAAAAAAACTAAACTAGTATCATTCAAATAAACTCCGCTCTATTATGTTGGTTTCCGAAAAAGAAGGTTTTGTATTAGGAAGGAAATGATTTGATAAACAAGTTGTAGGTTGACATGGGCTATAGGAGCGTAGGAGTCGTAAGCATAAAGTGTAAAAGAAGTTTTTGATGCTGAAAAAGGAAATGAAAATAAAAAGGAAAAATTGAGGAAATGATGATAAAATCAACAGAAACCAAAGAGAATGAATCTCCCATATTTTGAGCAGGCAAGGGTATAGGAACTTGTGCAACAAAGACAAAAGGGCTTGAAATATAAACACAGCTATGCCTTTAATTTAGCTCCATTTCTCCCCCAAACTCTTCACAAACAAGCTTTGCATAATGCACGCAATAACAAGTTGAAGCAACCCCTTCCCCATTCTCCCATCAACCAACCTTCTTCACCACAAAGACCGAAACACAGAGAGGAGAGAGGAGAGAGAAGAGATTTGATCTATATTGTGATCTGATGAATGGTTTTTAATGGGAATTGTTTGTCGTTAAATTTGTGCCTCGAGAAAGAGCCGAGTTCTGGATCTCATCTACTGCACGTGTCAATTACTTTCCTTTCTTTCTCTCCCAAATCCCACAAACCCCATATCATCACAAAACAAAACAAAACAAAACAAAACAAAACAAGACAAAACAAAGAAAAAGAAATGGAAACAACTCTTCAAACCCCCCATAACTCTCGCCTTCTCTTAACTTACTCCACTGCCTTCTTTTGACTTTTTCCACATGTTCAACCCTTTCTTTGACTTCAAATCACTAAACCCCATTTCCTAATTTGGATCCCAAAGCTTCCACTTTTCCATTGTGGGGTTTTCAGATACATCCCAATAATGTTGAAAAAAAGGTTAAATTTCATGTGGGAAATTAGATGGGAGGTGATGATTCATAATTGGTGTACAAGAACAAAGAAGAAGAAGAAAGGGGGAGTAATCATAAATTTGACATCTAACTCTAATTTAATTATCATCGACTACATCAAGAAATTAAATATCCTGAGAATGAAAGAAACAAACTTGAAGACATGGAAAAATAATTCAAATTAAAAGAAGAAAAAGGAACAAACCCAAATTAATTCATCTCCATGCCTGAGTGGCTACCTAAGAAACAACTCAAAAGGATATGGAAATTATATATATTTATATATGTTTTGGGGATGGGGGGTTAGTATGGAGGTCGAGCAGTACCCCAATAAGCTGCTTCCGATGGCGGCATTTGAATTGAGTTTAACAGATTCGGAGGCAAACCGTGAAATAACGGCACATTTCCGTCGCCCAGAAGTTGTTGTTGCTGTTGATGATGCGCTGTTTGCGGCGGTTGGGACTGTCCAACTTCATCCGGAGACCCAATTCCGCCTCCGCCCTGCAGTGGCGGCATGGGCGGTTGGTCGTCGTCTTCCAACGGCAGGCGTTCATAAGCAGCGTTGCTAAACGAGGCAGCCATGATGACGACGGGGCCGGAGGCGACCAAAGTACCAACAACGCTACCACCGACTACCTGCCCCTGACCGCCGGCGAGGTAAATGGTTAAGCTGGTTGCAGCCGGAGGAGCCGGCGGAGGGAGGAAGGAGCCGGCAAGAGATAAGATCTCAAAGCGACCATGTAAGTTGACAATTGCACCAGGGGAGGCCGGCTGGCGGAGAGTGACGTTCGTGACGGTGCCAGTACCACTCATAATGCAAACGCCGCGCTGGCGGCGGCGAGCGAAGGTGGCGACGCTGTCGACGATGTCACAGCCGTCGGTGACTTCGATGACATGAGTTCGAAGGGCGTTGGCACTGTCGCGAGTAATAATAATTGGTGGCTTGGGTTTATTCTTGGATCCGGCGGGTCTTCCTCTGGGTCGTCGAGTAATCTCTCCATCAGCAGCGGCAGCGTCCCCAGCGCTGGTGGGGGCAGAGTTGTTGTGGTCATCATCGTCGCGATCTCGTTTGAGACGAGTAGTGGTGGCGCTGTGTTCTTCTTCAGAATTACTGTTGTGGTGGTATTGTTGTTGGAGATGGAAATCCCGGGTGTGGAAAGGAGGCGGAAGAGAGTGGGCATCCATGGGGTTTCAATTCAATCCAATTCCTTTGTGGGTTTTGGGTTACAATTGAAATTGAAAACAGAATCCCAAATTAGTTGAGGTTTAGAAGGAAGAACATGCAGAGAAGAGGAAGAGGAAGAAGAAGTAGAAGAAGAAGAAGAGAGAATTTGTTGGGTTAAGTTTTGGTGATGCTCATCTCATCCGATCTGATCTGAGAACGAGAGAGAGAGAGAGAGTTTTGTTTCGTGGGGCTTAGGGTTAGATGGGAGATGGGTTGGGATTCGTTAGAGGTGCGTGCTTATGGCTGTGGGCGGTGCCTGGGTCCCTCTTCTTTCTTTCTCTCTTTTCTCTTTCATCACTCTAATCACTTTCTTTTTATTTCTCTAATCAACAACTCAACTAAACATCATATTTCTTCTATTTCCTTAACGTTTTCAAAAGTTTCTTAAGCTTTTCATCACTTTCTGTTATTTCATTTCTTACCAACTTTCTATTATTTAAATATGCTCTCACAACCTTTTATATATTACAAATGTTATAATTTAATAGTTTAAGCCTATAGTTTCAATACCTTAACAGTGAAAGCATTTGAACCTAGTTTTGGGATTATAGAGCTAAAAGTCAACTATAGGGTTGAAGAACTCAAGATGACAATAATGCATTATAATCTCAACATTAGGGATGATGTCATAATAACACTATTAACTTTTTCTCTATTTATCTACTATTAGTGAAAAAAATACTTACAGTTCACCTGCAATCAATGGAAGGAAGAACTATAAATAGCTGTTTTTTAGTGTAAGTAACCATTGTTGTTGTAGGCATAGAAGTAGAAATTGAGACAGCAAGGTTGATTTTATGTAATTATAAGGTATAAATTAATCAAAATTAAGTTTGGTTACTTAATTTATTTTTTTATTATTATGAAACAAATTTAAGGAAAATTTAAAATGTTCAAAACTTATTAAATAATTTTTCACAGAATTTATCACTACCTTTCACCTTCAAATGCATAACAAAAGCCTCTACCATAATTCAACACTTGAAAAAAAAAAAACATGACGTTTGTGACAAATATTAATAATAAGTTGTCGATATATATATTAAATTAAATAATTAAATAATTCGATATTTCAACGTTGAGTGGCCCTGAAGAGCACCCAAAAGCATAATGATTATGAGTTAGTTGTTTAATTTATATGATTAACACTATACATATGAATTTAAAAATATACATCATATATATTATACCAAATATTAAATATTTGTCCTTATCCAAAGCAAAAGTCGTGTAATAATTTGTAAATTCCCAAAGTCCATGCCGCTAATGTGAGTCTTCATACAAAACTCCATCATTTCTGTTGACATATAAGTTTTAATCTTTGTGGAATTAACCAAAAAAAAAAAAAAAAAAAAAAAAA